ACGACCCTGGTTCAGTAGGTCCGGTACGGCTGGACAGATCAGTAATTTCACATCACAGATACCTTTACCCAAGACCAATAATACCATGGGCGGCTGGTCGCTGTTGCATCGCAAGCCTAGTCTAGGTCCACACGTAAGTACGTACACATACGTGCTATATATAAAATAAATATAAGCTTCTCTCGTGATCAAAAAGGAGTTGCTAGCCGCTCCATCTCAGTCATATGTACGCACACAGCCACATTTCTTGTACTTCGAGTCAATTTGGAATTTCGGATATAGCAAATTGAACTTAACAGAAATATATGCGCTTACGAGTCAGGACCAACTCATCTAGGATGTAATCATCCAACTTAAGAGAATTTTCTACTAAGAAGGCAAGACATGCTCTCCCTGTCTTAAAATAGGAATACAACTTTGCGAGACCCAATTACAGTCGCAGACGCTCACATACACTCGGTGCTATGTCAGACGATATGAAATTTGATGAAATTTATATAAAAATATTTACTATAAATAGGAGTATCATAATATTCATTTCATAGTATATAAATTTGGAGTTATATACATATCAATACTATTTTCTATATACTTAGACAAAGCTAATAATAAATTATATTATTTTGACTTTGACTAGATCTAGAATTGTATTCTTTTTGTATAGAGGTAGTACGTATCATCCTATTTGAGAAACATTTGCCGAATTATACAGGATGGCGTAGCTGGTTAGATTTCTTATGGTGGAACTTGTTCAACCAGGTTTAAATACTCAACTTCACTCATGTTCATGTACTCGTAGTTGGAGATGAGATGTTAAAAAGGAAAAGAACAAGAAAAAAGAAATATCTTTGTTCTTTGTGGCATGCAGTGCATATGCATGCTGCATGTGCAGTAGCCAAGGCCTTGTTTAGATTGTAAGTTTTTTCACCCTCTCTCCATAACATTAAATCTTTGGACACATGCATGGAGTATTAAATGTAGATAAAAAAAATAACTAATTATACAGTTTGATTGTAAATTACGAGACGAATCTTTTGAGCCTAGTTAGGCCATGATTGGATAATAATTATCAAATATAAACGAAAATACTATAGTACCAAATACTGATTTCTAACCCAATCTAAACAAATCCCAAGTTGCAGAGCATGGCATCTCTGAATGCGAGATGCAGGTGTATGTTCTGCATCATCTCCTTTTCAGCATTGAAGATGGTATAAATCAACGTCGCATCTCTTACGACGACGCGTGTAATTAATTTCATATATTAATCGATCTGTGCGTGTGTGTTCTTCACCTTCTTGTTTTTCTTGGCTACCTGTCGCTGCAGCGTATATGCACGGTGTTACGTACACTTATGTACTTGGAGATGCGACCAATCACATGTCATGTACTTTAGTATAGATATATGCATATATATATATATATATATATATATATATATATATAGCTTATTTGGTTCCCTGCTAAAGTTTAGCTTAGTCACTTTAGCTACTAAGCTACCAAACAAATTGACTAAAAATAGCCTAAAGTAGTTTAGTTACATTAGTCACCCAAGAGTAATTAAAAGTGGATTAAGGCTCTGTTCGCTTATCTTATGAGCCGTACTGTTTCAGCGAAGGAATAATATTTTTCTCTCACAACAAATCAGCGAACAGTGCTTTCTGCCATGGCTTTTCAGCGAAGCGAACAGAGCATAAAGTGCTCAGTGGACAATGGCTGCCTCTCATTATTGTTGGTCTTCCACCCTGATTTGAACATTCATTAGAGGTAGTTTGGTTTTTGTTGAACTGTTTTAATGATATTTAGTCACTAGAACCAAACAGAGATGACTAAAGTTTAGTCATTAATTTTAGTAGCTAAACTTTAGCAGTGGTGAACCAAACAGGCTCATAGTTGTATGCATGCTACCTGCTAGTTATTAGCGGTAGTTCCCATCTGTGTACCATTCCCGAATGGTAGGGGTTGTAACTTTGTTTCCTTATTAAAAAATAAGCGGTAGTTACAGCTGAACAATATATATGTGCTTTGTCGCTGCTGTCACCACAGACTTATCAAACTCTAAGCAACAATTTCCAGCTAATAACTTGTATATATTAGCTAAATAATAGTGCTAGTTGATAATTTTTTTCAGTAGCTAAATAATTTATTTTGAGCTATTGGTGGACTAAATTAGCTAAGGTGTTTGGATACACCTGAGCTAATCTTAGAAGCTACAGTACAATTAGTTTATGAGATTCAAACAGACCCTGTGCATATATACGGTGAGATATGATATGCAGCCTGTTCGTTTGGCCGTGACTTATCGTAAATGATCGTAAATTTTCAATCCGGAATAGTATTTTTCTCTCACACAAACCAGCCAGTAGTACTTCTTTACTGAACCAGCAACGATATGAACCAGCCAACCGAACGTGCTGATGATTCTTCACGCTCACGGTAAGGGAATCTTTTGGGTATAGTAGGTCGTCCGTCATCACGGACGGTGATATGCACGACCGGACCAATATGCATGATCCATTGCACGAGCGCCAAGCAGGAAGTAGATTCCTCCAGGCTCTAGCTATAAATTGGTCAGATTCAGAACAAAACCCTAGTTTTTGGAAAAGGACAGGACAGCACGACGGAATCTTCTCCGATCCTTTTTGACGATTTCTACTTGTCGATCGCGCTCCAGTCGATCTACGATGGCCTGGAAGCTAAATAATATTATGATTTATCTGTGATCCTTTTGATTAACTGCATGTTTTCTAAGAGAAAAAAACGCAGAGTGTGTTATTATCTTTAATTTTGTTGCGCAGCAGCATGCACACAGGAGTATATATATATACAGCCTGTTCGTTATGGGTGGATTGCTCGTATCTGATTTATAATTCATGGCTTAAACAATATTTTTCTCTTACACCAAATCAGCCAGCAGTACTTTCAGCCATGGATTTATAAGTCAATCAGCCGAAACGATCAGACCGCTAATCTAGCATGCAGTTGATAGCTCATCATCTATATGATGTTGTCGCCTTTACTCTGTTGGAGTCTAGCTACCTAGGTGAGCTGGGCATGCAAGCATCTTGCAGCAAGTTGCAGTTAAGTAGGGTTGCTTGGTCTGAATTGAATGATGATCTGCGTTGGTGGCTAGCTCAGTCAAGCCAGCAGCCAGCAAGAGTGGGAGCTAGTCGGAGAGACGTCCATCCAATCCATTCCATCTATCAGCGGAAAGAATATATACCATGGATGCTCGATCTACTGCACTCTCGTCCTTTAAGTATAACACGATTTTAGTATACTTAGATACAACATGGAATATGTTTTCATATTATGTATACATTTTTTAAGGGCGGGTCTGGTGCAAGCGGTAGAGTCTTACCGTTTATGACCGGAAGGTCCCGGGTTCGAGTCGTGGTCTCCTCGTATTGCACAGACGAAGGTAAGGCGTGCCACTAACATCCTTCCCCAGACCCCGCACAAAGCGGGAGCTCTCTGCACTAGGTACACCCTTTTTTTTATTATATATACATTTTTGTTGGCATAGATGTTATTAGTACTTTTTTTATAGAACTGATCATACTTAAGGAAGTCTACCTTAGGACAACTTTAGAAGTTGATTTACTCAGAAACGGATGGAGTTTCTCCCTGCTGCAAACAGGAGACTGTATAATGCCTGCCCTCCTCGTCTGGGCTAAATGGTGGCTGATCTAGGTTTATCATTGCTGCACTGCCGCTACTGAACTGCTAATCAGTGGTATAACCTAGCCAACCTCCCTGCCTACCAATAAATATGAAGTCTTCATTCATATATAGCTTCTCATTATCAGAGATGATGTTTCTTTCATGCCTCTTTATGACATGGTATCAGTTAACATTACCTAGGAAATTAAAGGTCTGAAAGGACATCAATACTGTATGTTAGCAGCAGCGTTTGGTTTTCCTTGGTGGTGAACAGCTCAACTTATCATCAGCACACCTACCTACCTAGTTTGTGCTGAAGAAACTGGCACACTGGGCATGATGGAAGGAAGCAGCAGGAAGCAATTCCATCGGCTGCTCCAGCATACACATCACATCGCACCAGAAGCATACTCTACGCAAGTAGAAGTAAGGTAACTTCCTTGTTGTAAATAAAAAATAAATGGAGATGTCCTAAAAAGGAACAACCAAGCAGACAGACTGAAGATTCAGGCCATGTGCATGACAGATTGACAGGTACTGTTGGAGCAACCAGTCCAAACGGTTGAGAGGAGATCAGATTTACAAGCAAGCAAGCAAGTAGTAACTAACTTCCTTCTTTTTTTTTCTAAAAAAAAGAATGAAAGAAATGGAGAAGCCCTAAACAGGAACAACCAAGCAGACAAACTGAGAAGATTCAGACCATGTGCATGACAGGTAGAGGTAGGTACCATTGGAGGAATCAGTCAGCAGCCTGTTACTTTGGCTGTGCCTCGTCGTAAACGATTGTAAATTTCCAGCCGGAACAGTATTTTTCTCTCACATAGACCAGCCAGCAGTACTTCTTCACGAACCAGCAACGAAACGAACCAGCCAACCGAACAGACTGCAGACTGTTGAGATGAGATTCGCAAGCAACCATGACTTCTAAATCTTCCAAGGCTATCGGTCGATCAATTTTGTTACTACTAGTATTATTTTGGATTTATATACGTATATAATATGTTTACTTAAAAAGTCTCATGCTTGGTTCAGAAAAAAAAAGAAAAGGTCTCATGCTTCATCATTCATCAAACTTCAATTCTTGGTCTTGGGCTCTTGGCCACCGGCCCTGAGTTACAATTTTGGATGGATGGGCCTAAATAACGGGGCCCCGGATTTACACCCAGCCTGCCCAATACCGTGTCCTTCAACAGCCCAGCCCGTATAGTGTTTGGCCCACTCGGGCCCATCCAGTCCTTGTCGGTTTCTCCTTCCCCCAACGCTTCGACTTGGACTTGGCCGCGAGTGTGCTTGTACAGCCAACGACTCCGCACCTCGCCTCCTCCATCCCAATTCCCATGGCGGGCTACCGCGGGGGCTCCTCCACCGCCACCTCCGCCGGCGGCGGAGGCGGCGCGGCGGCCGCGGCCTTCGCCACGCGGATGCTGCTGCTCCTCACGCTGCTGCCGCTCGCGCTCGCCGCCTTCGCCTTCGCGCTCCAGTGGCGCGGCGGCATGCGGGACCCGGCCGGCGCCGCCTGGCCCGCGGACACGCAGCGCTTCCCGGGCATGGAGAACAGCCCGCTGGGATCCTCCTCCTCCTCTTCCCACGGGGGCGGAGGCTCCTACTTCGCGGTATCCTCCTCCTCCTCCTCCCCGGGAGCCGACTGCGCCGAGATCCTCGGCCGGAGCGCCGCGTCCTCCAACGGAATCTCGCTCTACCGTGGGTGGAACTTCGATTCCGAATCTGCTATAACCCCCAAGGTGAGCGCGATCTGATCTGCCTGTCGTCGAGATCCCATTTCTCCACCGCTTCTAGTGCTGCTGAATTACCGCCGACACTGTGATCCGAGTATCTCGTACTCCTGCCTGGTGAGCTAGCATGCTGTGCGATCCGTGTCCTGAGAACTATTTTCAACCACAGGTTTAGCTCGATCACACTGTTCTTTGCAGGACTTTGAAATAGGATCAACTACTTGTTTTTATTACCATGGTGTGCAGGCCTTTGTGGACTGCACACCAATATATACTTATGTACTACTACATTTTACTAAGACCATGAAAATAACGTAATTACGTAATGTAACTAGCAGTTGTTCTATGTTTGGCAAATTGTGCAATGCAGGTTGTAGTTTACAAGTGAAAGTTTTCTTGCATGTACAACCATAGTTGCAGTACATGGAGAAATTTCTTGTATGTACAGTCACGATTGCACAATATGGAGATCTTATATCATCACATTCATATACACAGGAGTTTAGGCAACAGAATGGATCCAAGTATCTTTGTTTACCCTGTTATTAAGATAGCAAATTGGAAAAAGTGGATATATATATATATATATATATATATATATATAAAGTTCCTGTGGTTCTAAAAATGTTTGTTCAAGTAGAGAAAATTCACTCGGTAAACACTTGCCGTGACCCAACAATATTTGTATCAACTTAAAATCATCCAGATGTTTTTCATTTCAACCTCAAAATCCTACCTCTCCCCCCTCTTTTGTACTGCAAGAATCTTGTTCACATGTTTAGAGTCAAATGTTACCCAAACTGTACATGTATTCAGCTAATCCTGTATCTTGAACTGCAGATCTGCATCACGGGAAGCACATCTGCTGGCCTACACCAGATTCTTCCATGGTTGTATTATCACAAGGTCATTGGTGTTTCAGCATTTCTTTCTATTTGTTGAAGGAGAGGCTGCAAAGCCAGCTGTCACCTCTGTGCTTGAATCTATTCGGGTAAATAGTCATTTCATATCCCATTCTTGTGTTTTTTATTTCTTTTCTTTATCTAAGCACTGACTTTCTGTGTCCCTGCTTTAGGGTGTCAAAATTATTTACAGAACTAAAGAATTGAAAGAGAAACAGGACAAAAGGTATGTCGATGTATGGAACAGTTCCATGTGAATCTTTTCAACCTTAAAATACCTGTTCCAAGTAAAGATATATTTATTTGGAAATTGGAATGTAAGTTTTGATAATTCTGATTTTAGTAAGCTATATAACTGAAATGTGTTGATAAATATTAAATTATGATAGTACTTGCTTCAAACCATATGGTAGAGCCGTAGAGGTAACAAGATAGATTCCAAGTTACTTTCTTTCATTGCAACGCTGCCATTGAATAATTCTGAATATTGATTATGAAGTGTTGCTGATTGGATCCTGTATCTCTGTTTTCCTGACTTGCGTATTTCTGAAGTATATTGTTGATTATTTCGTTGTCTAAAGCTTCTGTTGCGACCATTTTATGATTTCAGTCGCATTTGGAACGAGACTTGGCTATCAGGTTTCTTTTACAAGCCTTGTAATTACGAACTATTTGTCAAGCAATCACTAAACATGGAAATGGCTATTATTATGGCAAGGGTATGAACTGTTCCTTACTATCTGTTTTTAGCATCAATTTAAACAGAAATCCTGACTTTCATATTCCCTTCCTACAGAGTGTTGTAATTGTTGTCCAAGTCTATATTCACAGATACCAGCGGTCTTTGTATTATCTAATTTCAGCCACTCTTTCCTCACTATTGGTATTAGGAATTAATATAGTTATCTGGCAGTCTTGTTTTGAGCTCTGCAGCACAAATGTCGATATATGATATCAACAGTGTAATTCAGCATGTTGAGTTATTGATTGTGTGTAGCAGTGTAGCCATATAGTTTATAGTAATGAAAGGGAAGGTTAGAATGCAAATAATGTCAGTTCCAATAAGTTTCTCAACTTTATCCTGCACCACATGCTTTTCTCGCTTCCCTGACACAACTTTTAGGATGAGTAGTAAATGACGTAGAAGTTTATGGAAAAATTGCAGAAACTTAAAGACACGTACCAGAGTCACTCATTAGTACAAATATAGAGTTATAGACCTGTAAGAACTTTTACTTGCTTTCTGTATAAGCAGGGTTGATCCTGAGTTAAAAAAAGTAGAAATATAAACCTCTGTCCTCAGTCCACTATAAACATTATCCTAGGTGATACCACTACTAACTAAAAATCCAAGATGTTCTAATCATCGCACTTTTCTGCAGTGTTCCCATTCCGTACCAATGGCAAGTGACATGATTTTACATCATTTATAGCAAACATGTACAATACTAGTGGAGCTAATTATGGAGTCATTTTATTAGCTGTCATTTTGACTTTGAAAAGGCCTTGTATTTAGTCGTGAGATTGATGTGAATGTCCCCTGTTTGATTGTCACAGGATGCTGGGATGGATTGGATCATTCACCTTGATACTGATGAGTTGATTCACCCAGCTGGTGCCCGAGAGTACTCCCTGAGGCGATTGCTTTTAGATATTCCTGACAATGTTGACATGGTTATCTTCCCCAATTATGTGAGTCACACAAGTAACATGTTTGTTGAATATGGTAACGTGCTTCACATCTGATTATTGTATATATTTCTTTTTTCCAGGAGAGCAGCATTGAGCGTGATGACATTAAGGATCCTTTCACTGAGGTATAGAAGCTACTGTTATCTGTAACATGTATGCAAAAGAAAGGAAAAAATTGGCTCTGTATGCTAATGATGATCCACTGGCTTACTTGAGAAGCAAAGTGCGACCTGTAGATAACCAGATATCGACTCACTGTCTAGAAAAAACTATAGTTTAGCAAACACTGCACAGAACTACTCATTAATGCATTGAAGGAAATAATAGGAATGGTCTGATTATCGTTGTCTGTGTTTGATAGCTTGCATCATTTATGAATTGTTTTGTGCCTGCAGGTTTCCATGTTTAAGAAAAATTATGATCATCTTCCGAAGGATACATACTTTGGTCTATACAAAGAAGCAACACGTGGTAATCCAAACTACTTCCTTACTTATGGTAATGGGAAATCGGCTGCAAGGGTTCAAGAGCATTTGCGTCCAAATGGTGCTCATAGATGGCATAATTACATGAAATCCCCAAAGTAAGATATCTCGATATGTGGAGTTTTTTTTTGCTAAAACAAACGGTCAGTCAACAAACTACAGTTTCTTTCTACTCGATGGTTTAGTTATATATTTCTTTTGTAGTGAAATCAAATTGGAGGAGGCTGCTATTCTGCATTACACCTACACAAAGTTCTCAGACCTAACCTCAAGGCGGGATAGGTGTGGTTGCAAGCCAACTAAAGAAGATGTGAAGCGATGTTTTATCTTGGAATTTGACCGTTTGGTGAGCTATCTTTTCTTCCCTTTGCTGTATCTGCATAGCATCTATTGTTGTCCTATGGGTACAGGCCACCTTGTCAGCATCATAACTGTTTCCTGGCTGAAACGTTGAAATAATACATTTATTTCATTTAAGTGATATGATATAAAGAATGAGATGGGGAGAAAAATGGCTAGATGATTGATTATACTATGGAAATGCTTGTGGAAACTGTCGTGGGTGGAAACAATCTCAGTTTACACAATATATGCATGTAATATCTTTTTTAACTGAAAGTGGATGAGTGGATGTAGTTATGTCTGAATCAGATACAGGGGTGATGGGGCATTGCACAAGCACAATATTGTACCTTGTTCGTGTGCCTTATACTAATCACATAAATGTTTCCCATGGTCCATTCTCCATTGTACAATGTATAGCCAGCCATGCCAGAGAACCATATAACTGTCTTTTTACCAAAAAAAAAAGAAAGAAGGAAACTGCTATGACTCTTATTAGGTATCATTGTGCATAGGTAGCTAACTGGATAACTAACTTGGGAGAGCTAATGAATCCTCCCTTGTACTCTGTCATGGCAGGCCTTTATAATTGCATCAACAGCGACTGAGGAGGAGATGAAGAACTGGTAACACCCTTAGCCTTCTGTGTACCAAGCACCAACCATTCCTCCCTATCCTGCCTGAATTAAGAGAGATCACATTGGTCTGACTACCTTTGTTTAGGTACCGGGAACATGTTGTATGGACTGATAAAGACAGCAATTTGAAACTTTTGAGGAAGGGTGTCTTAACACGTATATATGCGCCCATGGTTAGTCCAGATCTCAATCTTGTAGGCTTTCAGCTCGTGGAAGTTGTTTCTTATTGCTGCTACATTTTATGCCCAATCTTTGCAGGCTATCATCCGTGGCCTCAAGGAATCCGGTGTCTTTACCAATGCAGTAACATCAGCGAAAGCACAGTCGAAAATAAAGTCATCAAACATGGGTCTTGAAAACGAGGCCATCCAACTAAACGGAACGGCTGGTCAGTCCACACTGGAAGGTGGCCACGAAAAGTTGCAGGCAACCGTAAGAAAGATCCTGGAAATGGTTGACGCCCAGGAAGAAGCAATGCCGCCAATGTCGCCCCCGGGTTTTCTGGAGCTCTCTGAAAGCGCCACTGCTTTGTCATGACTTTCTGGAGGCATTATTTAGTATTGACTCGGGTTTAACCATGCGTGATGCATGCAGCCTTGAGCATACGGATAACATAGGCTTGTTTGGTCATCGTTGCTGTATCTTGCAACCCGCAATGTATGCGTTGGGCTGATGTAAAATTGCTTCAATCGAGTAGGGTGGTGAGCAAGTACAAGGCATCAGAATAGTATTACTGCGATGTATACAGAAAGCAGGTGAATCTTTCACCTGTTGGAAACCAAACCATGGATTGTTTGGCCGTCTATATTGTTGCAATACTGTTGGATGCGTAAGCAGTAAAACTCTTGGGTTTCGGAAAGAATGCTTGAGAATACCTTACCGAATAAAAACAGCTGCCGGCTAACGAATTAGTATTATTATCAAGTATTTGAATTGTTTTTATTAGCAGAGAAATGGATCTTTTTATTAGCGGAGAAATAGCTGAATTGTTTGTTACTAGAGAAGTGAAGCAACAAGAGTGATTTTTTTAAAAAAAGAACTATACTTTTTTTTTTGTGTGTGTGAAACTTTATTTTGATGGCAGACCCCGCTTCTCTTGCTGGAAGCGGGCGGGTTTTGTAGGCGAGAAAAAAAAAGGGGGAAGGCAAAGGCAAGAGCGAGTGGGCGACCAATGGGAACTCTGGAATCTGCCATGCTCTGGCCCGCTCCGGCCCCTGCTCCCCCACCAACTTCGCCGCCACGCAAAACCCCACCTCTTCCACTGTGGCCGCCGCCGCCCCTCCGGCCACCGCACTTCGCTCTCCCTCCTCCGCCGCCGTTCCCTCCCGGTTTCTCCCCTCCGCCCTTCCCCTCCTTTCCCCCGCCATTGCCGCCCCCATGCAGCCTCCGGATGACGCCCCGGCCCGGCCCCCGGCCTCCGCGGCGCCAGCGCGCGCGTTCCTTACCCCAGGAGGTACCCGGGCGGCGAACGGGGCGCAATTCGTCGAGCACCTGGCGCCCGGGCGCGGGGTTCCGGTGACCGTGACCCGCGGCGAGCGCGACGTGGACGACCTCGCGGGCGTCCCGCCGGAGCTCCTCCCGCCGAAGAAGAGGGTCGTGCGGTACCACCCGTACGCGGCGGCCGCGGCGATCCAGGAGATGGCTAGCCACTTCCGCAACATCCACGGAGGAGGGTTTCTTCTCGGCGCGTCGGAGCCGCCCATGCCCACGGGGACGGGATCGGGGCGCGGGCGTCGGGACGGGGAGGTTGACGCGGCGGCGGAGGAGGAGCGGGGCGAGGACGGGCTGCGCGCGGAGCTGCTCCGCCTCCGCATCTCGCGCCCGGCGGTGGTGCTCACCAAGCAGCTGACCCCGTCGGACCGCAGCCGCGACAAGGCGCGCCTCGTGCTCCCGGACCGTCTGGTGGCGCCGTCGCCGCTGCCGCGCATGCTGACGGCGGCGGAGCGGGGCCTGGTGCTGGGCGCCGGGCTGCCTGTGCCGGCGCTCGACCGCCTCGGCCGCGCGTACCGCATGTCGCTGCGGCGCGACCCCAGGGCCCGCACGTATCGCCTCGCGAGGCAGTGGTCGCTCTTCGTGTCTCACCACGGCACGCGCGCCGGCGACACCGTGGAGGTGCGCACCTTCCACCCGCCCGCCTGGCAGGCACGCCTCGACAAGCACGGCGAGGGCGGGCTGGGCATGGCGCTGCTGCATCACCTTCGCGGTCCGAGTGGCGGTGAGGCGGCGGGGAGCGACATCAGGCAGGGCTACTACTGGTGCAGCCGGGAGCGCGACGCAGCCGACGGCCTCTTGCTGATTGCCGCCGGAGCCTGATCAGGTGGATCGGAGTTGCAGTGCAAGGAGGCAGGAAGTGGTGACTGGTGACTGGTGACTCGAGACAAGAATGAATGCACTGTGACGAAGTGTTGATGATCATCATACCACTTGCTGCCTGCAATGGCGTATCGATCATCAAATGCTCTCGGTGGGTTTCTTCTTTCTTGTGAGTTGTGATGGCAACTGCATCTTCGGAGGGTTTTGTGAAGCTTTGATCATGCAGGTTTACTTAGTCGAGGTAGATAACTGGAGTAGATGATGGACGATTAACTTATGTAGCTCATTGGGTCAGTTACATTACATGATTCTCTCTCTATAGATACTGTCTGTCTCCCCTGCAAATGCTAAGCTTGCACAGTAACTCATTATTAAGGCAAGCATATATATTATGGGAAATTGATATGAAATGACAATGGAAGTTGAAATAGCAAGAGTGGGTGGGTTAGTAGTATATAATACTAGAAAGAGGAGTTTATTCCGTTCTTTCTTGATTCTGCTGTTGCAATCTGCGATGTCCATTTCTGAAGTTATGCTGCGCTACAGCAGAATAGATCAGGGGTGTGTCCGTGTGTGTGGAGGATCGACCGATTCTCTTTCATTTGAAATATCCAAGATTCATGCATGTGTATGTGCATTTTTTTTCGTTTGGAAGTTGTAGCGCGATCAACCACTGCGGATGCTTCATGCGTATAGTTGAAAAAAAAACACCATCATGTTTTATAGATTGGACTTACATAGAACAGTGTCTGTTTCATCAGGTGGGGAACCTTTTTGGATGTGGATACTGTAAATGAAATATTGTTCTTGATTTTTCCCTATCGCCACTGCATGCCCCTATTTTTTTTTTAAAAATCACTAATACAAGAACTCAAATCCGTCATGCTTCTACAAATTTATAACTCCCTATATAATTGTTAATAATAATAGAGGACTATCAGCAATAAGAACACTGATAAAGCTTATCAGCAACAAGAATACCAACAGGCCTATCAGTCAGCAAATTTATATTACTAGTAAAAATACCCGTGCGTTGCAACAGGAGCACGGGACACATAGTTTATTGAATGATCTTAAATTTGGAGATGACTTAATTTATATTGGACAATATTACTTACTTTAACAGTGCTTAAACAAATCTTTAAATAGAATAGGAAATTATAAACACTGAAAATAAATTAAACTGAGACTTAATTGTTTACTTATTTTGACCCGAATCTTGAAAACAGAAAACAGAGAGGCCCTTTGTGGCCTTTCAGCATGCTGAACAACCGCATGGGCCTTAATTAAGCATGGTTACCTGGGCCTGGACCGTGCAGCCGCACTGGGCCACGTAAGCCCGCCGGCCTGCTAAGTCTTGGCTCAATCTGAGCCATCTGATCCCATCTGACGGCCGAGGACACGCCTGTGCGGAACAAAACCTTTGGCTCCCCACCCTACCCCCTCGCCGTCGCTAGAGAGTAGGAGGAGGAGATAAATCCCAAATACCAAGAAATTTGGCATGAAGAGACCATAACTCTAAGGGCTCAATCTACTAGAAAATTTATTAAAAACGATGGATCCCCACTCCCTCCGGCATAATGTCGGAGAGGAAGAAGGGGGACCAGCGGAGTCGCGAGCTCTTAATCATGTTGAAACAGTTATTTTTTGAAGAATTAGGACTATAGTGTAATTACTGCTAGTAAAAGCTAAGGTTAGCAACCAGTACCAAGTTCTAATTCGAACCACTACATTAGGTGAAACGACGAGCTGGAACTACTCCAGAAGCATCAACGATGAAAAGAAACAGAGCAAAACAAAACAAGAAGGCAAGCACAGATTCAATTCGCTGTCCGTGCCTTGCCAAAAGAATAGGATAGGGCAACCAAAAGATTCACTTCGCTGTTCAATTCCTTGCCACATCAAGAAAGAACGCATTCGACTCTTTGTCCTCCCGCTAGGTTTTCCTTCCTCATTGGGATTGGGATTTGGGGATGCGTATGAAAGACCTCGAGCTGGACCCGTTTACATTTCAATTGTATATATAATAAATCCGGCGCAGCAACAGCATGCAGGCAGCTCGGACAGGGCTTCCATTCCATCGTTCTTCCACCCACCCACCCACCATTCGCTGATCGACATTGATCGGCCAGGAAAAAAAAGAGAGAGATCAGATCAGTGAGGACCGAGGACCGAGCCGAGCCGACAGATCGATACTGTAATTAACAATGGCGGCCCTGACCCAAAGCGCCATTGACGCGCTGCTGGGCGTGCTGACGACGGCGATCCCGGACGAGGCGCGGCTGATCGGCGGCGTCCACAGCGACATGAAGTTCATCAAGGACGAGATGGACAGCATGAACGGCTTCCTGCTGCACCTGAACAAGATGGAGAGCGAGCACGACGACCAGCTCCGCGCCTGGATGAAGCAGGTGCGCGAGGTGTCCTACGTCGCCGAGGACTGTGTCGACCGCTACAGGCGCGTCTCGGGTCGCTACGGCGAGGGCTGGGGCGGCGGAGGGTGCGCGGGCACCCGCACCCTGGCCTTCGTCCTCAAGCACCCCAAGGCGTATTGCCAGCTCCACAAGCTCGGCAAGCAGATCGCCGAGCTCAAGGCCCGCGTGCACGACGTCGGAGAGAGGCGGCAGCGCTACGACGTCAACGTCCCGACTGGCCGTGATCTCAAGATGGTGCAGAACAAGCTGCCTGACCAAGAGGAGGAGAAGAGGGAGGCTTTTGTACACGCGCTGGAGAAAGACGTCGTCGGCACCCCTGGCTGGTTTCGGTCCACGGAGCCGGCCCCTGCCTCTGCACCGGACCCGGACCCGCTTGATGCCCTGCTGCTTGAGGACGCTCTTGTTGGCCAGCTTCCTAGTCCCGTAAGACCATCTGAAGCTGCCATGATGCGTGCTCTTCTCAAGAAATGCTGTCCTCCGGACCATCCGCGTGAAGCTAATGCTAATGCTGAACTTGATCTTGATCCTCGTGAAGCTAATGCTAAAGCTGAACTTGATCTTGATCCTCGTGAAGCAGCGGCATTCAGATGCACCAGGAAGATGTTTCTTTGTGCTATGTATGTCTACCCTTACCCGACCAGTCAAGAGCTGAAGAAGCTCAAGGACAAGGTGGTGGGAGTGACTGAGCAAGAGCTGAAGGAGCTCAAGGACAAGGGGGACGAGGTGGGAGTGGAGGCACCTGGACCTGGAGTAGTAGGAGCACAAGAGGCCAGGAGACAAGTCATGATCTTCTGCTACAGCATACTGACCACCCAGCAGAAGAGCTGCCTACTGTACCTGACCGCGTTCTTCCACGAGAAGGAGATCAGCAGGACAAGCATGGTCAGGCGCTGGGTCGCCGAAGGGCTTGTAGGCAAAGAGCCAGGAGGAGGGAGGACCACTACTACTCCAGAAGAAGCAGGCGAGCGCTGCTTCCGTGAGCTTCTCCTCCGAGGCTTCATTCGTGCTGCTCGCTGGAGCGATGCCGGCACGGTCAAGAGCTGTGTCATGGATGACCCAGTCCGCGACTTCATCGACGGCATCACCAAGAGCGAGAACTTCGTCGCTGAGCTGCCGGCCCACCTGGAGCGCCAGCTCAACATCCGAAGCATAGTTCAACGTCGTGCCTCCATGCCACCGCCGCCGCCGCCGCCGCTGGTTCGCCGCTGCAACCTCCGCTGCTGCTGCGGCGGCTGCACATGGCTACTCGACGACCATCGTGCGTCGGAGGATGCCACCGCCAAGGATCCCATGGACGAGCTGGTGGATTTCATCAGACACCTCCCTGAGCTATATCGGCTGAACGTGCTGGACCTGGGAGGCTGCACGGGCCTCAAGCGTCGCCACCTCAAGAGCTTTGCCGAGGTGGAGTGTCTCAAGTATCTGAGCCTTCGCAACACAGATGTCTCCCGACTGCACGCCACTCATATCAACAAACTCACGCTGCTGGAGACCCTGGACATCCGGGAAACAAACATACCACCTAGCGACACCGTGAGTATCTACCTGCCAAAGCTCAAGCACTTGCTCGCCGGCCGCTTTTCCAAGACGACGACGGCCACGACCATGCCGGCGGTCGAGAAGGGGTCGCTCGTCACCGTGCACATGCCTGGCAGGATTGGTTCGATGAGGGACATGGAGACACTATCCCACGTCCAGGTTTCCATGGACGGAGCCGAGCTGCAAGGGGTCGCCAAGCTGCACCAACTGCGGAAGCTCGGCGTGGTCGTCCATGCCAACACTACCACTGCCGCACTTCTGGGTCGAGTAATATACATGCTAGCTGCAAACTTGCGCTCCTTGTCAATTTGGGTCGCCATCGCCGTCCCCCACACCACCACCCACCCCACCATCCAGCAGGGCGGCGGCACCGGCATTCTCGACATTTCCTCCATGTATGAAATGGCCTCCAGTTTGGCCCTCGAGAACCTAGACATCAAGGGAAAGATGAGCCTCCCTTCATGGATCGGAAGGGCCTCGAAGCTAGCCAACGTCACTCTACGCGACACTGAGATGGATGGAGGAGATGCTTTGAGGAGGCTTGCCACTGTCCAGAGCCTACGCTGCCTCAAGCTCAGCCGCAAGGCGTTCACCGAGCAAGCGCTCCGCTTCAAGGACGTCCAGTTCCAAGCTCTCAAGTTCCTCGTCGTCGAAGGTGACGCCGTCATCCGAATCGCCTTCTTCGCCGGCGATGCAGCTCCTAAGCTCGAGAAGATTGTCTGGACCATCGGCGGTGGCAGCAAGATAGCACAAATGTACAATGAGGACCTCATCACCGGAATCGACCACCTTCCCAGCCTAAAGGAGATTGAACTTAGGGCCAGCTTCAACCTGGCCAATCTCTTGGATCGGACGAAGCCGCAAACCACTTCTTCAGCGTGCACACCAGATCTGAGGTATCACGTCCGGTACATATCCTCATCCGCCGGAAATCAATTAATCACTGAGGTTCCAAAAACAAAAACTGATGATAAAACCTTGACACTTCTGGCTGGTGTTATCAACTAATAACCAGCAGTAAAACCTACCTTACCAAGACATGATATATGCATTGTACATATGCGTGTGCATCCACGTGACTTATATTGTGTATGTGTGCTTCGATATAATGCCTATGTATGTGCTGGTATGTAATAAAACGCATGCATGCATGCTGGCATGCTGAGCAGCTGCAAGCTGCGTCTTCGTCTGAGTCATTGTACGTGTTCCTTCATTTACATTGTCTGTGTGTGTGTGTGTGTGTGTGTGTGTGTGTGTGTTATATGTATGGGCTACATATGATCTTATTAATGATGCGTGTAAAATATGATACTACCTCGTCATGATATGAAACATAAGGGATTCTTATTATATATGTACTTGTTCATATGTATAGTTAGAATCCCTTACATTTGTGGGTGGAGGTAGTATGTTGTTGATTGATGTAATTAAGAGCAACCACACCCTCCCTAAATATGGATTGTATGCTTTATCAATGCTATTGTAGTAGATATGCACAGGCAACGTGCACATAAAAAAATCCATGATTGAACCGATGGAAGTTAAATTCCAGTGCAGTCTGTACACTGACGATCTCATTCTGTTCGCCAGACCAACAAGGCAACGACACAAGAAGCAAGAGCAATCAAGGAAATACTATGGATTTTTTGGAAGACATCGAGGCTTTACACGAACTTGAGCCAATGCTCCATAACACCAATTTAGGCGAAGAGGCGGATATGGAAGACACTGAAACAATTCTAGGCTACCAAATCCAGCAATTTTTTTTTTTGAATTTCAACGGGGGAGGCGTTCCCCACCTGAGTTATATAATAGCCCAAAAACCGGCCCGTTATATAGTTATACAAGGTGTTTGGTTACATATCATCACACAGGTGGTGATGATAGTTGTTTGTCAAAAACAAGTATGAGCACTAGTCATCCATTTCTTGCTGATTTGAAAACCTGACACCACTGATCAACAATTGGCCTTTTCCTTCTTGGAAATCTGTATCGCCATTGCTCTGCCGATGCTTTGCAGGCTGCGAATACTTGTGTGATGTTGTGCCTTTCTTCTCTGAATACCGTTGCATTTCTTGCCTTCCACAGCTGCCAGCATGCTAATGCAATGAAGGCCGAGTACTCCTCTCTGGGGACCCCATTCGGTGGCGTTGTTGATATATGCATGTGCATTGTACATGTGTGCGTGTGCGTCCACGTGACATATTGTGTATGTATCCTTCAATATAATGCCTATGTGTGTGTGTTGTATGTAATAAAATAAAACGCATGCATGCATGCGGGCAGCTGCAAGCTGCGCCTTCGTCCGAGTCATTGTGTGTGTTGTTCCTTCATGTACACTGCCACATATGATCTGATTAATGATGCATATATGTAAAATATGATACTACCTCGTCGTGATGAAACATAAGGGATTCTTATTTTATATATGTACTTGTTCATATATAATTTATTTCTACTATTATTCAACTTCTTTGGTTTACAAGATACGATTGTCCTTTTCAAATATAGAGTGTTTGTTTTATTTATGTAGTGAAAAAAAGCATGATAGCTTATTGACTGTTTTGAAAAGCATTGTTGCCTTCTTTCCCAAAGTAATTGTTGTTATTTGAGTGAGATGACACAAATAGTATGGTAAATATAATGCTTGCAAGAATTGTTTTCATTTCTTCGGGCAACTAAATATTATCTTTAGTTTTTGACTTATTCACTGCAATATATGCGCTTATTCTAAATCTTTGTGATTATTTTTGTAGATTAAGTATTATTGTCATGTTAAGCATGTACATATGTTGATTAGCTCCTTGGACAATTAACATAGCATTTATGCCCTTTGGAAAGTAGTATTGGCCCGTAGAAGTGATACTCTGGTGTTCCTTTGGTTTCTGCTGCATGTTTTTTTTTGGAAGAATTGATTAATGGCATAAAGGTGAAAGGACAACTTGTATGTTTTGGCTAGGTTCAATTGATAACTTGATACGCTTAACAGTACAGTTGTATATTTACCATGTGAATTGAGGGCACTTGCATATTTCAATCCATCATTTTAAATTAGACATAAATTATTTGTTTAAAGGAGGGCAGAACTTCTTGAATTAGCCAGTTGATACAATTTTACAACAGTCATATGCTTTGCTTATGAATTCTTACCATTGTCAGTAATAATATGAAATTTTTTACAATAATTGGGGAAAATTTCGATGGCTGACATCGACCGAGAGCGGCCAATCCGACGGCAACAAAGGTAGGAGGCAACGGGAGGCAATGGGACGGAGGCAACGGGAGGCGATTGCTGTGTCTATGATCAGTGGGCCATATGCGCAAAAATCGCCTTCCATTGCCTCCGCAAATGTGGGGATTAGGACTGGGCGGTAATTCCATTCTCGTAGTTTTTTTTGATAAAGGGTAAAACGGTAACTCTATAAATGCAAAAATAATGTTTTGAGTAATATAGTTAGGATGGATAATACAATTAGTATAGTTAGTTAAATGAATATGTCGTTTACTTCTTCTAGGGTTCCACCGCCGCCGTCCTGCGAGCCGCCGCCGCCGCCGATGGGAGGAGGCCGGGCGTAGGGCAACGGGCCACCCCTACCCCTCGTTCCTCCTCGCCGTCATCCGCTCGGGCGTCGCCCTCCTCCTCGCCGTACTCCGCTCGGGCGCCGCCCTCGGCGTTCGTCCATGGTGGAGCAAGAGGAGGCAGGAGAGGATGGGGGCCATGAAACCTAGATCCAAGCGCGCCATGAGGAGGAGGCGCCGGCACCGACACCGACACCGACGCTAGTGCTGGCGTGCTGCACATGACCAGGGGCAGGTTCGACACCGCCGCGGTGCTATCTGCGATGGGCAAGTTCGGCGTCACGCGCCTCGCGCTGGCGTCGCCGGTGCTGCTGGCCATCGTGCGCACCACCGAGGAAGCGGACGCGGGCGCTGCCACCCACGTGGCCACGCTCTTGGCGGTGAACTGCGGCGGCGCGCCCCTCGCGGCTGACCTCATTGCGCGCTTCTCGCGCACTTTACCCGGCGTAGGCGTTACCCAGGTTGGTTTCTCGCTGCTGCAAGTTCATGTCTTTTGATTCTTAGTTCAGAGAATATCATAACTACTAGAGTAGTTCATACAAATCACTTGCAATTGTGTGTTCATCATAGCATATAGTGCTTGTTTCCAATTGGCAAAAGGGGTATGGTCTTACAGGATTGATGGTTTTCGTATACTAGGTTAGAAACTGTCAAGTATGCTCTCTTTAGTTAGTGAATTATTTATTGACAAATCTCATTTGCAGATATGAGCTTGAATTAAATGTTCTTGGACTTAGGTTTTTAGTTTGACACAGCCATCATGTGTAATTTTGAGTTTTGTGAAAAGAAGTATGAAGAGCTACTGATACAACTATAGTTCTGTCAGCCGGTTCAACTTTGACTTTCATAGTTTGCAGAATTTCTGGTGGCTTGGTTGGAGCATTTGTAACATTGGGCAGGATTGACATGTCATTCAACACATTAGTGCGAGAGAGGAACGCTATGCTTCCTACAATTTCATCAAAGGTAATTTATATAGTGAAAAAACACTTGCTTTGATTTGGAATTTGCTGCTCATACTTTCTGCTCAACATTTAATGTAGATATTCAGCTCAGACCGAATGTAAATTTATGCCATTCCATATTGACCCCTTGGGTTGTCTGATCTTTTTCCTAATGGCTAAAATTAGTTTCAAGAATGTGAAGGGTTGGATCACTCTGGAACTTTTATCTTATAGACTTCTAGTCTAGAATAAGATAAGAAGTGCCTGTACAATTGAGTGAAATATTCTTCTCTTATATAGTGCAATCAATCAGTAGCTAATAAAGGCTTGGGCACTACTTGGAGATAATAATTATACTTATGACCTCATCTTTGCAGGATTGGATTGACATAGATTTTGGAATTGCTGAAGGTGTTGATTTCATCGCCGTATCATTTGTCAAGTCTGCTGAAGTAATTAATCATTTGAAGAGTTACATTTCTGCACGGAGCCGTGGAAGGTAAGTAGGATTATGTTTTGAAAGTTGTCACCTCGTCACATGCACAATTCACATGTAGGATGTAGCTGGGTTTAATAGTAACATATTGATTATCCTTTTTTCCAAAACAGAAAGGTAGTGCTTTACTAGTCATGAGCTTGGTTCTGGATGATAACTTGATAAGTATTGGTGCATGTATTTAACGAATTCTTGAGTTTGTGTACATTATTGTGGTTAGTGTGGAATCTGCCTTTTTTTGTTTTAAATGGTTTGGTTGATAATTTGCATACTAGCAGTTTGGTTGTGGACACTAAAAGCTGTAGCAGGTCTATATGCCCTGGTTTAAATGTGCCGAGTGACCATCACACTTAATGGCTTAGAAGTTAGATACCATACACGTATGTTTTAATTTCGTTTACAAGTTATTACTTGGTTGTCTAAATTGTAATTGTTTCATTGTTTGTCCCAGTGATATAGGGGTCATTGCAAAAATTGAGAGCATTGATGCTCTAAGAACCTGGAGGAGATTATCCGTGCATCAGATGGAATAATGGTAGCCAGAGGGGACTTGGGGGCACAAATCCCCCAGGAACAGGTCCCTTCATATACAGAAAAGAATAGTTAGAATGTGCAGACAGCTCAACAAGCCAGTCATTGTTGCTTCTCAGCTTCTGGAATCAATGATAGAGTATCCTACACCTACTAGGGCTGAGGTTGCTGATGTTTCTGAGGCAGTCCGCCAGCGTGCAGATGCTCTCATGCTTTCTGGTGAGTCAGCCATGGGGAGGTATCCAGATAAGGCTCTCTGAAGATTGAAAGGTGGTGGAGAGAGGAGAAGTGCCACGAGGCGCTGGAGCTTCAAGATGTCTCGTCTTCATTCTCTGATACGATATCAGAGCAAATATGCAATTCAGCAGCCAAAATGGGTATACCCTGCACTACACCACTATCCACTGTAATTTTGTTATAAAAGCATATAAGTAACTACTGCATTTTAGTGCATCCTATTTGTGCTTCTGACTCTGAGATTAACCTTGAAGCTAGTTTGTCTCATATATTCAGAACTAGTTCAGATACTTTGCATCCTGCCTTGTGCATAGTGGCTGCATCTACATAAACATTTGAACTGATCGTGGATATGTGCGACTGCATGTCGACTTATTTAAACTGATCTTACAGATCTTGTTTCTTTAGGATTGCAACATCTCTGCTGATATTTGATTTGTGCTAACAGCACTGCCTGACTGTCTCTTGCTACTACAGGGTTTGGAAAGTGATGAGGCAGAAGATGTGAAGTAGTTGATCTACGCTTTTCACGACTCGAGAGATGACTACAAAGATAGAGAACGTTAGAGCTCCAAGATGCTTATGTTATCCTTTAATTAGCAACGGCTTCTGAACTTGTGTTATCTCTATGTATACTATGTTAGGTTATCCTTGAATTGAGGTCAGGAATCAAAATGCTTATGTAAAAGTCATTTTTGTTGCTAATTTCTATTTGGGAAGCTAAGGATGATGACCTGGCATTGTTGTGAACAACTCATATGGCGTATCAAAAGCAAATATTTCCTAATATTGCCAGTATTGCAAATATTTCCTGTTATTGCTAGTATCGCCGCAGTGGCCTGGCGTCAATTTAGATGGCTCGCGTCAATTTCAATTTCATGGCTCGCGTCAATTTCAATGCACTAATGGTCTAGTTTACCCTATCAACTTCACTCTAGAACCGATCAGTGACTCATGCAGACACCCCCGGCTGTTCGTGTGCTGCGCTTAGGGGCCAAAATAATCAACGCTATACTCTGGAAGCAAGGAAGTGCAGATATTCAGAAGAATCAGAACCATCATTCAGTTCAGACATCACACTGGCCGAGTCTATGGTCGGTTCAAACAACAATAGAAAGAAAAAATCAGTGCCGGAGCTCTACTCATTTAACTTCTATGTTCTTACAGCTCTTCACATAATAAAGGAGACCATAAGCATAAGATAATTTGGCACAGGATTATTAGCACTGAATTCACATAAAGAAGACCATAAGCTTCAGATGATATTGATAAGATCTCAGGCTGATATGATCTCATGCTAATACGATCTCATTGGTAATTCAAGTAAAAAATACATAGTGTCGACTTGGCAAAATAGTTCAAGAAATCACTCTATTCGAACTACAATAAAACTACAATATATTGGCATGGTTTTTAAATCTTGCCAAGGTTGGCTTCGACCTTCCTTCTGAGACCCCGATAATCTTAGACATGTTGTCTATCATCTTTCCTTGGTGCTCGAGGCTGTTTTTCATGGCATCGACCTTCTTTTGTCTATTGACAGCCCATACTCAGTAAGACTGATTTTCAATTAAGGGCTGTGTCATCGTGTAAGTATGGAATCTGTCAAAAATAATACATGCCAAAAATAATACATGTCAAATGAAGTGGGTTGTGTAGTACAAATTACATGCAGCCGTGCAAGAAGATACATGGTGGTCTGACACGTCCTCCTCGTCACTCCAGTCCTGACACCCATTCAAGCATCTACGGATCTCATGGCTCCAGCAGTTGCAGCACCACGCCAACAGGTCGTCGCCAACAGGATTTAGGCACGGAGAGACATTGGTCTTGCAGTTGCGGCATAGATACTTATTGCATCGGCCGTCGTCAGGGCAGAATTCATGATATGACATGTGGAGATGTCCTGGTTTGTAAGCATCGTACGTGACAACGTGCACGAAATCTTCTGAAATTTTTATCATAGCCTCCACATATGATATCACGACATCTCAACAAGTTTCATGATTTTCGGACTTCGTTTGCTTTTTATAGAATTTATAAACACTTCACACGCAATTTCGTAGATATGTTTCGTGAATAAGATGTCCGAAATTTCGGGTCCGTTCCTGGATACGGCCTCTCATAACACTCACTAACATGACTATCAATTTTCGAATCATTAAACTCCATTATTCGTACCACGTGCAGTTCAAATTTCTAATTTTCGGAAAAATTCAAGTAAACGAAATAAAGTAACTAAATATAACAAAAAGCCACAAAAAATCCCCAAATTGTAACTAGGAGTTCCTGGTGCTTTAAAAAGGCTGCACAAAAAAATTAGAGGCCAAAAACAAAAAAAACAAAAAAACTTTGCCGAGTGCCGGGGCATGGCACTCGGCAAAGGGTGTCTTTGCCGAGTGCCAGCCATCAGGCACTCGGCAAAGAATGTTTTAATTTTTTTTTAAAATTTCCTCTTTGCCGAGTGCATCCACAGGAGCACTCGGCAAAGAAATAATAAAAAAAAATTAAATCTTTGCCGAGTGCCGTCCAGAGGGCACTCGGCAAAGTATTTTAAAAATAAAAAAATTTTCTTTGCCGAGCGCCAGATCTGAGACGCTCGGCAAAGAATTAAAAAAAAAATTAAATCTTTGCCGAGTGCTAGATCTGGAGCACTCGGCAAAGAAATTAAAAACAAAAAAAAAAACAAATCTTTGCCGAGTGCCTAACAGCAGGCGCTCGGCAAAGAAGGACGTGGCCGAACACCGTTACACGGGGCAGCCTATGCCGAGTGCCGAGTTTTTGCCGAGAGTCTGGCACTCGGCAAAGAAGTCCTTTGCCGAGTGCACTTTTTTGCCGAGTGCCTGGCACTCGGCAAAGAACTCTTTGCCGAGTGCAATTTTTTGCCGAGTGCCCGATTTTTAACACTCGGCAAAGAATTTTGCACTCGGCAAAGGCTCTGTTTCCAGTAGTGATGGGATATGTGATTGATTTTGTCTTGCTCCAGTCTGAACTATGTCCACCAAATATATTTTGACCGCTTGTAACCTGGAATGCAATTGCAGCCATTTAATTTTGACCGCTTGTAACCTGGAATGCAATTGCAGCCATTTAATGTGGTAGTGTCATCTTGACTTCTGTAATTTTTCTTTTGCTATCAGGTCGGGGTTTTTATGCTTGTGTCTGGACATGCCTGAAATCACAAAATTTACCAGGCACAAGTTTTTGGGCCCATGTTGTAAGCTCATTTTGTTTGTGACACTGCCTTGCCTGTACACCAAAACTATCCAGTTTTGTCACATTCGTAGTGACCAAAGAACCATCTTTCGTTGTCTGACATTAATTAACAAATAACAAGTCCAGCATCAGTGATAATATATGGGCAACAGATAAATGTGCAAAGGTTGCGTCCAATCAGGATGATTTTCTTCCCCATTGAACTAAAAAATGGTGACACTGCGTGCACGAGCACCCTTTAGTTGATTTTGCACGTGCTGCAACGGCGAAACCTGTTACGGTACATGGCGAATTACAGCTAAAAAACTCGCTTGCGTACACCTCTTTTTCCTAAAAGCGTCTATACATCTCTAGAACTGTACAAAAATTTGTGTGAAGTCTTGTTTCAGCTTCCAAAGAAGTCGACGGGAGCAGTAGACAGCAGCAGTAACTGTTCAGTTCTGCACTGCCTCCATTGCCAAGCCACCCAGACCCAGGAGGTAACTCCCGGTCACAGGTGAAGCTGGCACACTGATGTTTACACCTTTCGCTATTTTTCACATATATTCACGATATATAAGTACGAAATCTGGCTTCGAAAAAATTGTCCAATGCGTATTTCTTCGATGCGCACATCATCTCATGAGCTGCTTGCAGGCTGACTATTCTGAATCAATCCTAAACCTTTGTAGCCCAACGTGTTCACTTGAGCTGCCTGTTGACAGGCCCCTCTCTTTGTTGAATCCAGCTCTCCCTACTCTTAGAGGACCTGAACTTGAGTATCTTCAGAAAGAACCAGACGCATCCGTAGCATCATAACGCGCTGATGAAGTGAACAACTCGGCAGATAGCGTTGGGTCAATGTCTATATCCATACTTGCTCTACTCATAGCCTCAACATCTTGGATATGCAAATCTTGGCTAAAGCTTGTGGATTCATTGAACTCGCTGCCTTCATTGCATACCAACTTTAGAGCTTGAACTACTTCACCCATGAATGGGCGCTGATCCACCTCAAGCTGAACACACATAAAAGCAATGGCTGCTACTTTTGCGATGCTGTCAAACGGAATGTTGCTCCCAAGTGAAGGATCTATGATTGATTCCAGACCATCCCTGCTTGTCAGCAGAGAACCAGCCCATGCGACTAAGTTTTCTTGATATCTACAGGTTTCCTCCCTGTAAGGAGCTCAAGAAGAACAACACCGTAGCTGTAAACATCACTCTTTACAAGAAGATGCCCAGTCATTGCATATTCAGGAGCAACATACCTAAAAGAATTTGACAATAAATTTGTAATATAAGTTGATGATATTGAATCAACTATGAAAAAGTAAAGATAGTAAGTTGAGATTCAGCATACCCAAAAGTTCCCATAACACGAGTTGAAATATGCTCGTTTCCCTCACCCAAAGCTGTCCTTGCTAAGCCAAAGTCTGACACCTTTGGGGTGAAGTCATGTTCCAATAAGATGTTACTGGACTTGAAATCACGGTGTATGACACGTGGACTTGAATCTTCATGCAAATATGCAAGTGCACAGGCTGCACCAAGTGTAATTTTGAGCCTAGCGTCCCAATCAAACCGAGCAGCTCCCTTATCTGATCCTAATTAGAATCATAATAATATTCGATTTCAGATGTCCAAGAAAATATAGTGTACAAGCAAGTTAACTAAGAGTAGATTGAAGTCTTGAAGATAGATACTACACAACCATGATTCCATGAACCATACCAAGGATTCTAATTCACTGGCTTGTATTTTGTTGGTATAAAGTATCAACAAATTGAAACAATGCAATTCAAACTAGCACTGATAGGTATCGTGTGAGTAACAGTCATTACAGCTCTATTCCATTCCACTACAGAATATAATCTGCCTTTTCTTGTGTTAAGTGTTTGGCTCATCTACTGCACCTCTAGCTAATAAAATGACTAAATTAAGTGATGAAAGAGAAGTTATATGATGAAATGAAGAAAGTCTTAGAAAGTGAAGTTACGACAGAGAAGAATTTTTACCATGCAAGTGAGATTCCACACTGCCATTTGGAACAAGCTCATACACCAAACATCGGCTATGCCCCTCTGTGCATATACCTATCAGCTTAATCAAGTTCCTATGATGCAATCGGCTAAGCATCTCAACCTCAGCCAAAAACTCCCGGGTACCTTGCTGATCGTCCCGCTTTAAAACCTTGATAGCAATCCGTTCTCCATCTTCAAGAATACCTTCATAGACACGCCCAAAACCACCCTCACCAATAATTCTGGACTCATCAAATCCTAGTGTAGCAGGCAGCAGAGCACACGCGCACAAAGCCGACTAGTAGCAAACAGCAAGGGTATGGGTTTCACATGACAAGGAAAGCAAATGTGCTAAACAGTGTAGTGTTTACACAAGACTAGGCCATTTTAGTTACCTTTGGCAAATCATATATCCGGCACATCCTCAGGGAGCATTGTTTCCTACAAATGAAGAGGAACATTACCCATAAGTACACATGCCTCACAGACAGCCAGTTTTCAGCTTTGATGAACATTACACTTAGCTTACCTCTTCTCTCTTGGAGCATGTTCCTCGATTGTGACCCTCACCCTTACAGGTACATTTCTTCTTAGATTTATCTGGCCCGACTTCAACTTTTTTTCTTGGGGCCCCTCTGCCAGCACATGTATGGGATCAAAGACATCAGTAGAATCAACATCCAGGGCTTGCGGCAAAGACAGACCAAACCTCTTGCCTCCGTTCTCTCCTCCATTTGGAGGGATCATAGCAGACTTCCTCATGAAGAACGTGTTTCAGCCGCCCATATGCTTCAAGTGATTGAGATGCTACTGAAGGATGCCGTTTGACTGATATTGTGTAGCTCATGGTACCTCTGTGAGGCTATCGGAATAGTCATACATGGCGCTCTTCCTTATAGGAGGAAATCCACGCTGGCCCCCCCTCGTCCACCTTTTTCAAAAAATGCGGTCTGGAAGCTTGTGTTCTCCTCGACGACCCAATAATGAAGAGGATGTGTGAGCATGGGGTTCCAAGGGACTGTAACTTTAGACAAGAACAAGAAATTTCCTTCACTTATGCTTCAACAGTACAGATCTCACATTTCACATAGTATTGTTTGTCTCCTTTATCAACCCTTCCAACAATATACTCAACAATATCATAGCCATCTACAGTCTCAATCCAATAACACTTGTCGGCTGCTTTTACGCTGTACTGCACATCAGCTAAATAAACACTTGGTGTGAACAAATTCGCAGCCTCTTTCTCAATAGTTGAAGCATCTGGTTGTAAGCATGGCTTAGAACTTGCTTCAAAGTCTAGATACGCTTCATTACTGCGCAACTTTGAAAGACAGTGGTCAATGTGCTGTATCAGCTCTAACAATGTCATTTTCCGATCTAGATTAAACTGAATCCTAGAGTGTAGGCTCTCACTACGTTGGTTGCTCCTCAGTCCTAAGTAGCACTTACCAGCATGATACGCCGCACACCAGATTTCCCTCATCTCATACATCTGGTACAGCCACGAGTCCTTATCTATACCTTTCTCCTTTGCCAAGAATGCTATCCATTTCCTCTCAATCTTTTCTATGGAGCAACGATAATAAAGAAAACCCCTAACCTCATCCTTCAGATCCTGGGTGTGAAGATTACGCGCAATGCACACCTCAATATGCCATACGCATAGCCTATGCGATGAATTTGGCCACATAATACTGATTGCTTTATGCATAGCACGGTCTCCATCGGCGATCACAGAAACCGGATGCTTCTAAATCATGGCATCACAAAATGACCTAAGTAGCCACACATACGACTCAGTATCCTCATGAGAAAGAATTCCACAGGCAAAAAGAACCGTGCTTTTATGGTGATTCACCCCAACAAAAGGAACAAAGGTTAGGTTGTATCGATTTGTTTTGTACGTGCCATCAAACACGACGACATCACCAAACGCTCTATAATCCATCTGACATTGAAAGTCACACCAGAGCAGTCCCGTCAGGTGCCCTCTCCCATCAGTCTTGTACTAGAAAAAGAAATCAGGATCTCTACGTTTTGATTCTGTCATGTAACTGATGATTGTTCGAGCATCACCACCGGAAAGTGTCTCCGCCTTGTTGCGATGGCAGAAATTGTAAAGGTCCCTTGATGTAAATCCAACCTTATCATACCCACCATACCGCCTAACCATAATATCCATTATCTGGTGTTTGCGGATCCTAGAAATCTGCAGCTGCACAATCTCTGCTTTCTGATCATCGCTGATTCTTCTATGTGAACGCAGAAAGCAAGCAAGGTCTGGTTCCGTCATCGGATGGTTGTGCTCGTCGATGAAATCCTTCACATACCACTGCTCTGTGTTCGGATCTTGTGCAATCACAAGTTGAGCACGGCATCCACAACGAGTGATATTCCGCGGCCTCCGCTTCTTGATCTCCCTCCTCACCTCCTTCTCTGCGCGGAAACCTTCATAGCTGCAAACAAACTTCCGAAGGGTCCTCTCATTGTGTCCGTTCTCCCACTCGCAGTATTCCTTTCTCACACTAAATCATTTCTCATAAGCGTAGTTGTTATAAAACTCAAATCCGTTGTCCTCACTGCCAAACATCTTCATAACAATTTTTTATGTACTCAAAGAAAGAATCATCATCCGACATTTCCTCCTAAAAATGAAGCTTTTATTAGGATGCACAAGCTTTCATTATTGAAATTCACTTTGCACTTGAATTTTCAAATTTCAAGCAACTGCCATGTTCTAAAACACAGACCTATGTTTATATGCATTTAGAAACTTGGAACCAGCCAAGGTGTAACGGAAACAAGCTCCACCAAGGTGTAATGTAAACCGCCAAGGTGCATGAGCAAAGTGACCTATTATATCCAAAAATAATACAAGACAACCCCAACAAGAGGGAAAGATAATCACATAACTAAAACATCAATAAGCTTCACTAACACCAAGTGAATCCACAACTAGAGGAAAAGCAATAGCTATGCTAATTACATAACGTGCAGGAGCCTGGTTCAAACTCAGCCTGGGACATGACTCCACCACCGAGAGCGCTGGTTCAAGGACACATGGCTCTCTTGAGCCGAACCAGAAGCAACGGTGGGGTAGCTGCCGAAGGTGTCGTGAGTAAGGCTGAAGAGAGAAGGAGAAGGAGGTGGCGAATGGTGTATCCAAGTCTGAGATTATCCGCGGACCCTCCTCCCGTGTGGGTGGGATGCTTCTGCGAGAGGTTGCATGAGAGAGGGTTGATCTGGTCATAGAGAAGATGAAGGTGATGCCTGAAGGAGCACTGGAGGAGGTCAAGAATGAGCTCGGTCGATTCTGGAGGGCAATTTGGAGGTTCTCACCACATCGAGGAGTTCTTGTACTTGCGAAGCTTATGCGGGACAGGGATGATTTGACACCATCCATGCTTTCAAAGTGGCGCACCATGTTTAGCTTGAGATCCTTGTTGCAATCAAGACTGGATATCTGTGCCTTTCGCACCCAAGCGTTACCATTCCACACAATCGCTTGGTGGAGGTCTTCTTGTACAAGAGGTGCGGAACATTGCTTGCCGTGAGTGCTCTCCCTGCACGAGGAGTGCAGATCACGAGTGTGTGTGCTAGCGGTGAATGGCTTTTGCAACTTTGTGCATGTGTGTGATCTGCAACAAGTTTGATTTTGAGGTCAATACATGCCGTTGTTGGATTGGTTGTGATTTCTGCTCTCATTTGGACACATACTGATTGTGCAATTCACAATGGCTAGATAGGAATGGGACAATCGGTGAAAAGCGACATTGGTCATGCTGAAATGCTTTTTAGGTGCCGGGCTTGCCGTGAGAACCTTAGAGCTTCTTGGTTGGGTTAAGGATGTCTTCCAACAATGTGCTCCTGGTTGGGATAGGGATGCTTTGTTACGTGAGCTTGAGTTTGTTTGTAAGATATTCCGTTTAAGTGAGGATGCAAAAGGGAGAGTGTTGTTTAGGAAATGTCTAGATCTGATTGAAAAGGTGAGGAATGCTCCATTTGATTCCATCAATCCTAGGGTGATACTACAAGCACTCCAAGGTCGGGCCACTCACTCCGTCTATTTTCCCCGGCCGAAAGTCTTTTTTTTCTCGAACTCATGGGAGAGCTGCGTATCTTTGTATTAAGAAGAAAAGGGGCAAGAGCCCTTACAACACACACCCACACTCCTAAGCTCTTAAAAAAACACACGCGCCTTTTACTAAGACAAACTATTTTCCCTTGCTGAAACATAAGTTTGCATTTGACTTGTTACCTGTTAGCTTCTTATTTCTAAGTCTGCTTAGTTACTATTTCATGGCACCCTGTTGACTATGAAAATTGTTTACTCCTTCCGATCCCACATATAAGTCCATTTATCTTTGTCCAAGGTCAAACTTTTTTTAGCTTTGGCCACCATTGACCAAATAGTTATATAAATTGATAACATGAGGTTGATGTTACTGCATGTCCGCATTTATCATGAAACATACTTCCGTAATATATAACACTTTCTATTATTAGTCAAAGTGTAGTGAATGGAATCAGAGTGAACACAAACCAAATTGATTCGAGGTTTCATCATGTGATCGGATTACAGGGGAGTTGGTACCTCGAGGCTGGGCTCGGACTGGAGGGCGGCAAGGGCACGCGGGAATCCGGTGGACTCGACGAAGGCGGCGACAGAGGCAACCACCGTGGCCCTTGCGCTAGGGGCAGGGGCATCGGCGCGGCTGGGCCGCCGTCGCGATGAGGCTCTAGCGGCGGCTAGAGGGAGGGAGAGAGCAGGGCAGCGGTCGCTAGGGTAAGAGCAGGGCAATGCGGGCGATGGCAGGCCGGCGTGGCGCCGTGCGAGGGCGGCGGCGGCAGTGGCGGCTTTGGTGAACGCGACAGCGCGTGCAGGGTCAGGGCATTGGGCGATGCCAAGTGCGAGGGCGAGTTGGGACGACGACGTCGGGCGCAGATCGGGCAGGGGGCATGGCGAGTAGTGATAGGCACGTGAAATGACCAACATACCCTTTATGATGATAATTAATATTTTATGGAGGCAATGGGAGGCAATGCGAGGCAATTTCAAGTACTGTAAAAGGGCACTATTGCATAAGGATCGATATCAGCTGATTCAGATGCGACACTAGAATCGGCTCTCTTCGAATGACGTCCGCAGATAACGACAATGAGCTATGGTCAGCGTCAGAAAAGACATGACGGACTCTACAAAAAGGAAATATTAGGGTCCAAGTTATCTTAAATTAGAAACATTTTTCTTATACCAAAGATTATAACAAATCGTACTTAAGTAGGATTCATGCTTAGGCTCCGAGTATAAATATTGGACCCCAGCTATTGTAAAAAGGACATCCAATCAATCAATACAAATTACTTTTTTTGGCTTCGGCCAACCCTTAGGAGTAGGAGTAGAGTAGATTTCGGCGAGTTCTTCAGCAAGCAGGGCTGCATCGGTCTGGCCGACCTTCGACTTATTTATAAGTACCGTCATGGCTTATACTTCTATTTGTACGGTTGCATCGGTTAAGTTTGACCTCCACTGCGAGCTCTAGTATAAGCTAGTTATCGATCTTTGTCTAGTTCAAGTACGGCTGCATCGATCCGGTCGACCTCCATTGCTCGGGTTAGATTAAGGTCAAGTTATCGGCTCTGTCTAAGGGTGACGTCCTTCGGGTAGATTCATTAAGTTACTGATCTTGCTGGTGTTCTTACTATCATTAGTCTTTTTAGCAACATCAACCTGCCTGGTCGAGATCGATCTAGATCGGCCTCATATCTTTGTAGTCCGTTGTTTGCTTTGTTACAATACGATGATTCTTACTTTGAGCAACGGGTTATGTTTCATCGGCTGTTCTACTTCGATCTTGATCATGCATAGTACACGGTTAAGGCACGAATGATCTTGAAGAGGTTTGCTGGCTAGTTAAATCTGATCTACGGTTCACTATTATGGCTGTAACGATCCGGTCGATCCCCACTAATGACACTTTAGATAGGAGGTGTCGGTGCGGGACCCACGGGATACCCCGCATGGAAGGGAGAACTAGTCTAACTAGGATTCTTCCTTTGTAATCTTAGTAGTAGTATTACTCTGTAATCCTACTAGGAACTCTCATTGTAAACTGACTAGAACTCTGGCCTCCTGACTATATAAAGGAGGGCAGGGCTCCTTGGATCGGGGGTTCAGAGAACAATTGTACAACACAACACTTGACAATCAATCCAATGCAAAAGGCTGACGCCGAACTAGACGTAGGGCTATTACTCGATCAAAGATCGAGGGTCCGAACCAGGATAAATCGACTGTCTCTTGCATTAACCGTCGAGTTCCGCATATGCTGAATCCCGAACATACTGCCCCGGGGACCCCCGTGGCAGGCTATCGGTGGTCAAACATCGATAGCTGGTGCACCAGGTAGGGGCTTTCGGTGAATTTGCATCCGAGAGCTCGATGGACCTCGACAACATGATCTTCTCAAAGGGATCAACCTTCATCTTCGGTTCATGGATCTACGAGGCAGGCAACGATGGCAAGCTCCAAAACTGTCTCCTCAAAGATTCAGATCATCATCAGGACTTTTTTATTTCGGTGACAACAACAGATCAGCTTGTCGGAAGATTCGCGTAGCTCGTGATGTCTAATCCGACTCAGATTCCACGACTTCACGCATCCGATTCAAACTCAGGTTCCGCTTCCGAGATGGAGTACACTCAGAGTACTTTAAAGAAGTCGGGTCCTCTTCCGTTTAGACTCGACAACATGGCAACGTCTTATCAGACACATACCGAAGGATCCACCAATCCGGTGCTTAGAATGCCACTGAAAGGAGCCCAGGAAGGTCTCGTTTTAACTATAACATCTCAGGACTGCATCATCCACTAGCCGGGTTCCGTTCCTGAGGATAGCGGCACCCAACTAGTCGACAACGTGACAATAATAGCTCTACCCTACCAAGAAGGAGACTCGATCTGTGACCTTGAAGCCTCTACGGAAGTTATCAACAACTCTGGTAGAACGGAAACCATAGACGATGACAGAACAACTCACGCTAGAGAAGTATTCATGATTCGCCGTCCTCGATCACCATTGGTCCCCCCAGAAGCACCCGACGTCAGGTCTTCAGATGAATCAAAATCCAACATATCACCATTTATCTAGGGGCACGATGATGAGACTGAGAGTCAGAGGCAAGCCAGAGAGAGAAAGAATAAATTGAAACAAGGACGTCAACGCCGTGCTAAGCAGCAAAAGGACACTTGGATCAAATATGAGTCAGACCTAGCCGAGTACAATAGAAGAAAATCAGAGCGAGAGGTCGAAGAAGGACGAGCAGTGAATACACCCTACGATAAGATCCAAGAAGCGCTAGAAGAACTCAGGGCGACTTCATATCCCAATGAAAAACAAGAATAGCTCCAGGACTTCCTCCGATCAACGGTCCTTAGGACACATGACGAAAGGGCAACATCTCATGAATAGGAAGATCAAAATCAAAGGAAGTCCGCTTTCGAAAGACTCGAACCAAGTAGAAGTCACAACAGAGAAAGTCGAAGAAATCATAGTCAAAATGATCGAGTCGAACAACCAAGAAAGGCCAGAAGCAAAGCACCTACTCGGACAGCCACGCAAAACTACTCTCACCAAGAC